CATAGCGACCCTGTACAGGGTTTCCGAGGGTGTAAATCTTTACGGGAGTAGAAAGCCTCATCTTCCTCCCGCGGAGCGGCTGGCAGTTTCGAACTGCTGACCTTGCGGTTTACAGCCCGATTCGTAACCACTACGCTACATCCTACTGGTATTCAAATACCTGTGGCATAGCTTCATAGCAACATGCAGGCCAGCACAGTAGGATACACTGACAGACGAGTGGTGGATGTAGCTAAAATCGTCATCTACACTCATCTGTATGCTATACTTGACTATATTTTATTGCTTTTATGTAATGTCTTTTTTTTTTAATGTTTTATTGTGAATTATATGATAGTTTACATGAGAGAACTTTAGTTTTACATTCATTCCATCGTATATCAACTCATTGCCATGGTTCCAATCCCCTCCATGCATCATCAACCAACCAAAGGGTATATCCCAGAAACCCGCCCCCTACACTTCCCCCTCCCCCCCTTATGTAACGTTGTCATTTTAATCCATTTGAAGTTTATTTTGATGGGTTGCAAGAATCTTTTTTTGCCTCCAAGCATTTAAATAATTGTCCCAACTCCATTTATTGATACTCCATTATTTCTATTTATTTAAAATCCTGTGGTTCCCATGTTCTACTTTTTACAGTTTCTGTCAGTGTGTATAGACTTTAATTCCAAATTTTGATATTGTCAGACTTTACAGTTTTATCTAAAATTTTGAAATGATAGCTGATATTTTTGCAGTTCTTGGTGACTAGTGACATTGAGCATCTTTTTATGAAATGACAGTATCAATAACGTTTGCTTTTTGAGCTCAATCATGATTTTGACTGTTGTATTTGTTTTCATTGACCTTCCTGTTTTCTTTTGTGTTCCCTATTCAGATTTTCATCCATTTTTTTCTATTAGTCGTGTGTATTTTTAGGGACTCATAGGCATTCTTTGTTCTGACTAATCATTTTTGTTATATACATTATAACTTTTTTACAGTCTGTGATTTGGCTTTTAATGTTAGTCACTTTCAATGTAGTTGAATTTGTCGATCTTTTCTCTTGTGTTTTTAGATCTGAATTAATTTAACAATAACTTAATGAGCATCTCCTGAGTGCAAGTACAGTTTTAGGCGTTTGGGATACATTATGAAAAAAAATATACATGATTTCAAGGATTTACATTTGAAACCGACTCTGAATTCATGAAAATATTTACCCACCCCACCCTCCACCCCCCATCTCCCCCCCAGAAATGTTTTAAGTTTTGGTTTTTCACTTTTAGGTCATGAATCCTTCTGGAATTTATTTTTGTATGTGGTGTGAAGTAGGAAATTGGTTTATTTTTTTTCCCTGTGATACTGCCACAATCTCACTGGTTTACTACTTTACTTCCCAGGGTAATAGCATCTAGTTTTCTTAAAGGAAGAATTGACAGTTAACCTTGGTGTAGTTCTTCAATCTCGTGCTGTGTTACACCATAAAGAAATCCTTCGAGGTAGTTTTACTTGTAGCACCCTTGAGCAGGAGAGTCGTGTTTTTGGTGTAGTGCTAACCATGACAGTCACATTGAAGAATTGAGAAGTGAACCGTTTGAGAAAATGGAGATGGAGAATCTAAGTGTCTCTTTATAACAAGCTTGAGAGCGCAGGGGAGAAAGAGAGGCAGTTCTTCAGATTTTCCTTTTTGTTGGTATTATACCTTTCGAATGAAATAAAAGTGTTTTGTAATTTGTGTTTTTCTTATTTCTCCTAGCCTCCACCTGGCAATGTGAAAATGCCTAATGTACCTAATACACAGCCAGCAATAATGAAACCAACAGAGGAACCTCAAGCTTATACACAGATTGCAAAGGTTAGTTCATGTTAGCTGTGTAAATTCATTATTGAAATTAAAGTATCAATAACATTTGCTTTTTGGGCAAAATAATAATTTTAACTGTTGTTTACATTTTAACCTGCTTTTGAGTCTGGCTATACTTATATTCTTTCATCAATTCTTTTATACTTACACTCTTTGTTAGCCCTTGTGTAGCATTGCAAGATAATGCACTGGACAACACAGTTGGTTTGAACTGCAAGTTTGGTGTTTCAAACCCACCGGCTCCTCTTTGGAAACTCTGTACCTGGTCGCTATGAGTTGGAATTTACTCGATGGCACTTCACAACAACGCTTATGCTTATATTCTTTGCTAGCTTATAATATTTGACTGTGTATATCGTCTTGTGTACAATTTGTAAAAACACGTTTTATTGTTGTTGGTCTCATTTTTTAATGCTTAATATCAATTTAGT